ACCCTTATAACTACTTCTATACTCATTTCCTGTGCTAAACTTTTCTCTACCTCTTATTCTTTTTGCTTTTAATTTTTCCTGGCCCTCACCACTGTCTAGTCCTAGTTTAAAACTTCCCTTAAAGCTGAGTTAATAGCTTTAGTCAGCCCCTACTCTATTTAAATGTAAACCATCCATTGCAAAAAGCTCCATTCTCACACTGAACTGATCCCACAAATCCAATCAGCCAATCTGTTCATCCGTACATACTAACCTAGGCCTAGCATTTAGCCCTAATGATCAACTTATAACTTCATCCTCACAGTTAATTCTGGGTAGTATCCCTGACAAAATTAAGTTATGGCCATTTTATTTAACTGCCTTTATCAACCCCTTATACTTATTAATTAGCTCCTCTGACCTACCTTTCCCTACATCATTAGCCCCTACATGCACTACAAAAACTGCATCTTTGCTAGCCCCCTTTGTTATATCTCTTGCTCTGTCAGTTATATCCTCCACCTGTGCCCCTGAGTAGCATAATCTGATTTGTTTCTCCCTACTTACCCCACAGACTATTCTATTCACATGCCTTATCAAGGAAACCTATAACTATAACCTCCTTATAATCTACATCCTTCTCTGACCCTTTTGTTTTCCTTCCCTCCAATAGTTTCCCCATCTGCAGAAGTCAAGGGCTGAAATTTGTTGCTCAACAAAATAGGCTTATTATAACTAAATTCACCACCGTTTTAACCCTAACAGTACTCTTTCTAACTTCCTTAAAATCATTGTTAGCTGATGTATCCTTTGCATGTAAAAGCTCAAGCTCCTCCTGCCATTTCCCACAATCTACACTTCTCTTTACATATTGCATCTACTTTAATCATGATTACCTCTAACTTTTCCTCCAACCTACAAACTCTACATAAAAATTGTACATCTTCATTACTACCTTCCTTAAAAGTATATTCCAGTCCCGAGTTATCAAATAAAACCCACTCCTTGCACTCATTACGCCTAACAAACTGCAAACACTTAACTCTTACACTAGTCTTAACCATTGTAATGATGTACTACAGTTTGGTACAAAACTATAAGTAATTTCATTAAATTTGTTTTTCAATATTCCCACACCAAGCTTCTTACATTTTACATTATAATGCAGAGAACCATTTATAAACCTTATAAATTTTTCTAGCATGATTTTTTTCAACCATATCATTGAGATTATAATCAATAATCATGACATTATTTCGAGCTTAACACCATAACTATCATAAGAGGGCATGTCACTTAACAGTAATGGGTATTGCCATTGGAACTCTTCAGATAGGCAAGTATCCCAGTGATAAAACTAAGACTTCAGAGTCCGAGTATTACTTATGCAAGAGACATCTGGCACGACTTGTAGCTTTGAAACTACTGGCTTGTTGCAGACAATTAAAATAATAGTTTTATTTTTACATTTATCTGAACTATATTATTGTTTGTTAAAAGTTTTGCATTAAAATTACTTGTCTTACAAATAATTTTTTAGTGGGGCATCATAAGAGTTTACGTTGTTTGTTAAAAAAAAATCTGATGTAAATGGTATGCATTAGCATGATATGTTTTTTTTTCAGTTTTTGGTGGAAACAGTTTTGATTAAGAGTTAAATATATTTAGCAAAGTAAGTGAAGTTTTTGGAGTCTTATAATCCCTTCAGTAGGTCAACCAAGATTCAAGTATCAGAAAAACAATTGTATTGTATAGCCTAAAAACTGTGTAGTTAAGCCTGAGTCCAGTATTATTTGGAAAAGTGAAATATTTTGTACAAGTGGCTAATGAACCAGTTATTCAAATCAATATATGAACTGTTCATCATTGTTTTAAGTAGACCAGTATAACAGATTTACTACTTTTCAAACATGGCACTTGTTTTAATTTTGAAATAGTATGAATATTTTTTAAAACATTTATGTTCTATAGTTTCATTTTCCATCATTATGCTTACTGAATGCTAAACAAGTTAACTAAGTTAATATGACACATACAGTGAAATATGCAGTGTACTAGTACTACACTGTATAGAACTATTACTAGTATCAGTACCATAAAACAGGATGAATAGCAACACCTTTTCCATTTCTTGTAATGTGTTTCTTTGCAAAATTTATTTTAGCTCATTGTTTTCATACCAAAACATGGCCAAGACTTTGATATATCAGAAAGTAGTATAAACCTAAAATACTTTTGGGTTCAAGTTTTTTTTGTTTTTAAACACAAGTATCCCTATTCATCTCAATGTTGGGGGGAATAGGGACAAATGGTATATGTATAATGTCCCCAGTCAGCATGTGTATAATGTGAATAGGAACACCACAATGACATTAAAAATCTTAACTCATCAAACAAAATGATCTGGTGGACGAGTTGACTCAGCATCTGCATCTAATCTGCTAAGAGATTCACTGTCTGGTTCAGGACCAGAATCATGACAACTGTATAATGATGTATCTGAATCATTGTCAATATCTTGAGCTTCCTCTTGTTGAAAGTCTGTCCCAAAAATGCTCTTTCTCTGGGCAACATTGATCTTTTTCTTTCTTTTCTACTGACCTTGAACTTCTGGACTATATCTCATGTCCTTCAAAAAGGCCACAAAACTGTCATCTAATGCATCTTCAGTCTCCACTGTGGTGTCCTCTGTATCAGCACCAGATTTTTCATTAAGCAGATGTTCTAGGAATTTGTTATGGTCGAGAAGAACAATTCCACACCTGGAATAACCTGACTTGACTTTCTAGACTTCATTTTCTTTCAAAATCTGTGGAATCGATGCCTGTTTTCGATCCAGAACTTTCTTCTACTTCTCCACGATCTCTTGCCATGCTGTTTTCATTGGACAAAAGATATATTGTTTTCCTCCTACATCTGGATGACTTCAAATGACAAACATGAACTAAGGTTGTCACCAATCATGACTTTTTTCCTTAGAAACTCTTTAAATGTGGCAGGATACGTTTTATGAACCAATCAATTAAGCATTGGTGGCCAAACTTGTTTTTGTTATTTCTTGGCATTTTTGTGCCACTCATTGTCCAGGTGTTATAAATGTAGATTGCCTTATACATTATACAACGTGGAAAAACTGTCCCATTTGCACATGCTGCATAAATGAAAGATATGGCATCTTTTGAACAGCCAATGATCATTTCTGGGTACTCTGTCCTTCTTCTAGTGATCATCTTTTTTGTAGCCTGTGTCATCAGACAGATCTGTTTCATCATCGTTCATAATGTTACTTGGTGGCACTCTCCAGGGTTGTCAAAATAGCCATCTCCTCTTTCTTTTGAAACAGCAGCTCTTGGTGTTCTGGCACATATTCATGAAGTAGGAGCATCTTTGTGCTATGTCGAAAATGAACATGCCCATTCAACTGCAGGCAAATTTTCCATACATTTCTTTATTATTATTTCCATGCCATGTTTGTCCAGATATCTCCTGACATTGATCTTCTGATTAAAAGTGTCTAAAGGATATCCCCAGTTGGCACATGTTACTACTTTCCTACAAGTTTCTGTTCTACAAGACCTCTCAAAACTGTCTGTCTACCTTGGCATCATGTCTCAGATGTTTTTATATGCCTGTTGAGGACAATTCTAGGAATCCCAACTTTTTTCTAGGATCCTCTGCAGGACATCTATATGTTTTTTATATTGCTTGTGTCCAGGGGTTGGCTTGTACTGGCACAGCATAGTGTCCCTATTCACCCCAATTCAGTAGTTCAATATTCCCGATATAAAGCAAAAAAATATTAAAATATTAAGTAATTATCACACATCAATCATCCACCTTTGATGGCATGTACAATACCTGGGAGACCTGCATGTGCAGCTCAGTGCTCCTTCTAGTATGGGTAGTTATGCCTGTGGAGACAAAGTTTTGACCACATCAAATTTTTCACAGATTTATCAGCAATACTAAATTTAGTTGCCATGGCAAGCAAAGCTGGTATTTCATAAACATTATGATTCAACATTACGATAAATGTATGAGAGATTTAATGAAATTAAAAATGTGTGCGGTTATTGGCATACACCTTTGCTGTACAAAAAACTATTTTAGTTTTTGTTCCTATTCACCGCGTTTTACGGTAGCACTAGTAGCAGTTTTACTGTTACGTGTTTTGTTTGGTAGTTCAGCTTTACATTACAACATCACTGAACACAGGCTAGGCCTAACAAAATGACAACTACATGATAATATTAATAACCAAGTTTAATATGCAATAGTTATTCTATTCATGAAGTAAAAATTCAAGATACTCAAAAATTAAAGGAACTCACTAATAACTTTAGATGGTGTATTCGTCCTTCAACTGAATATGAAAATAAATATAAAATAATACCAACACCTAGAAAACAAGCATTAATAGCCATTTTTATTTCATCTGGTTCTGACACCTAGCGTTAGAATAGACTGGTGGATGGAAAGGGGAAGAGAATGTGTCTATGAGGATCACGGCCTCCTTTTAAAAGTCATATGCAGATTTCAGCTATATGAATATTAGGATCACTTATTTTATTAAATACGACCTTGTAAGACAATTACAATGCAGACGGATAATCAAAAGCTTATTAATAAATAAAAGAAATTGATAAAGGCATTAAAAAGGGGCCATAGTAATCTAGTTATGTTAAGGATATCGCTGGGTCTTAGTTGTAGAAGTGAAATTATAAGGTAATTCATTCATAATGTTATTTTAGGACAAGCGTATTGACTGGTTGGACTCGTGGGATTAGTTCAATGAGAAGAGGAGTATAATTAGTACCAATGGTTTATTCTTCAATAGGGTAGGAGGTGGCTTGTTTGCAAGGGCTATTAACTGTAGGGGCAGCTATAAACTAGGGTTGGCTAAACTGTTATACTTGTAATGCTGGAAGTATAACTACAAGAAATAAATAGAATACTTTAGAGAACCAGTTGGAACAAATGGTTTTTCATGTAATGGGAATAACTGAAACTTGGTTAAATATAGACTATTTTTATGATAAAAGTTTCTTTCAACTATTGGGTTATAGGTTATGTAATAGGGTTAGAGTACTGTTACGCCTCCAGTCGTTAGTTAATTTTCCGTAAATTCGTTCCGACGAAACTTTAGCGACACAAGTCCTTTCTTAAATAAAACTGGTTTATTCTTTCCGAATACAACTTTACGATACACTTAATTTCAACAGTCGCTCTATAACAAACGCTATAACTCACGTCTCACGAGCTCGTTCAATTACATACTCTCTGACTGCAGTTCAATTACTCATTACCTCTGTTGTCCCGTCACGTTGTGAACGTCTTATATATACAAGACTAACACATATCTAGTAAATGCTAGGGCATTCTTGAAGGAACAGGATATTTCTAGACATAGGTGGCGTGATACTAGTCACGTGACCTCACTGACGCAACAGTACTAAACAAAAGGAGAGGAGTGACTTTTTACGTAAATGTTAGTTACATCCTGTTCAAACTGAGGAGATCATGGCCGAAAAGGGTGAGCATATTCGGTGATGGGGAATCAAACCCGAAATTTGTGATCGAGCACCCTAGCCACCAAACTATGCCAGGGCCCATTGTGAGATAAAGAACTGAGCTATTCATGAAATCACAATTATGAGAGATTTTAATTTCCGGCATATAGATTGGGAAATACTAGAGTCAAATCATGAGAGAGACTGTTTTTAAGAAACCGTTCAGTATGGTTTTCTTCACAAATCAGTCATGGAACCTACTAGTAACAATACTATTTCAGATTTATTGTTAACTTCTAAAATAGAAATAGTTGATAAATGTAGATCGTGGAACATACGTGAATGCAAGTGATAACTGCTCAATTAGGTTTAATATTTTATTGCATATAGAGATAATAAATAATGAGATTTTGGTTAGAAATTGCTAAATAGCTAATTTTGGAGAGATGCAACAAGAATTATTTGTAGTGAATTGGGCAACTGAATTAATTGGAGATACTGATGTGTGTGAAAAAATATTAAATAATTTTTTAGATATTCAAGATAGACATGTTCCTTATAAAAAAGGATGGTTGCAAGTTATTTACATAGTTGTTTCACAGAGTGTGTAAGGGATAAAATTAAAGAAACACATTATAAATTTAAGAAGTTTAAATTGACTGCTATGATTGGAGATTTAGAGGATTACAGAAGATCAAGGAATCTGGTCAAACAGAAAATTAGTAAATCAGAAAAAGTATTGTGTAGAAAAAAGATTCTCTGAAAATGAGAAAATTAATAATAATAAGGATTTCTTTAAATACATTAAGAGTAAGCAAAATGTTATAATGAGAATAGGGCATTTGAAGGATCATACAGGAAGACTCATATCTGATGATTATGAGATGACTGAATTATTAACTACTACTTTTTCTTCAATTTTTAGTAATGAAGATTTAAACAATGTTATTCTTTCTAAATAATTGCTAGATGGAAACAAGATCAATGGCTGGATAAAAACATTGACTGGGTAAAAGAATGTTGAAGGTTGCTATAAATGAATTCCAGTCCAACTGAATTAATGTCACAAGTAGGGTATTTCAGGGCTTAGTGTTAGAACCTTTGCTGTTTTTGATTTGATTTACATCAATGATATAGGTGAAGGAATGGTCAACAAGTTATATAAATTTGCTGATGATATTAAGGTTTTAGGTGTTGTTGACTGTGAGGAAGATTTACTGCTTTACAAAACGATTTGGTGAGTTGGGTAAATAAATGGCAGATGACTTTTGATTATATTAAATGAAGACTAATGCACGCGGGTTATCATAATTGCAATTATAAGAAAAACTTTGATGGGAATGGCCTTAGCTCTGTTATAGGAGTAAAAAGATTTTAGTGTTTTGGTTTATCAGCCATCCAAGCATTGTGCTGTTGCTAGTGGTAGGGTATGTAGGATTTTATGTTGTGTCTACAGATATATTGAATACAAGCCTAAAGAAGCTATAGTTTCATTATATAGGTCACTGATTAGGCAATATGTGGATTATTATGTTTAATCTTGGATTCTTACATAAGGAAGGATATTGAATTGTTGTAAAGGGTTCAGATGAGGTCTACTAGGATGATACCTGGTATGGAAAGATTATTGTAGGACTAGCTGAGATCTCTGAAACTGTTTTTCTTGAGAAACAGGAAAGTTAAAATGACTGTGTGTGGAGTTTTTAAGATTGTTCAGGGAATTGATAGTGTTGATGTATCATATTTTTCCTACTTAATGGTGAGAATAATAAGACTAAGGAACACAAAAGTAAATTTTGGCAGGGCAGGAGCCATCTTCAGCTAAGACAGTGTTACGACAGTGGAGGTCACGTGACGCTAGTAACACGTCATGCACTTCTAGAACGTTCATGAAACCCGAGAGGCTACTAGATTCAGTATTCTTATACATATAAGACGGTCAAAACGTGACGGCAACAATGGGTAATTGAACTGCGGACAGAGAGAGAGAGTATTGTTGAGTCGAGCACGTGAGACGTTCGTTGTGAATTATAGCGTTTGTTATAGCGCGACTCTGGAAATTAAGTGTTTTGCAAAGTTGTATTCAGAAAGAATAAACCAGTTTTATTTAAGAAAGGACTTGTATCGGTAAAGTTTCTTCGGAAAGAATTTTTACGGAAAATTAACTAACGACCAGAGACGTAACAACAGTTTAAATTTTCTAACAAGGTGGTTGGCCTTTGGAGTGGGTTGCCTTCAGATAAATTATTGTATGTATGTATTTTATGTAATTTACATAAAAAATACCGATTTTTAATGCTATTAGATACAGGATTGTGTATATTTTGCTAAAACACATATAGTCGACTCCCCATTAACGTCTTAGTTACGTTCTTGAGAACTGTGATGTTATTGGAAACGACGTTATTTGGAACTCAATTCCTCAATGGTATATTGGTACAAGTTGGAGTTGTGTTCCAGTAGCATAATTTTACGTCCTACATATAACAAAAAGCAGAGTATATTACAAAGCATAATACAATAATAAAAATTAATAAGGAATAAGTATCATAGTATAATATTGAAGAAAAAAAGGAGATGGCAATGGTTTATTAGGGAGAAGATGGAACTGAATCATCTACTTCCTATTCCTTCTTAAAAACTAAGTTATTTGCGAATGCCTTGCCTGCTTCTTTTTCTCTTTATAAAATTCCTGATAGCCTGATAGAACTATCTCAACTTGCCTCCTCTAGATACTCCTCCGCTCGCGGTCAGGGTCGTTCTCGGCAAAGATTGCAAGACCTTCATCAATTTTGCAAAAATCCTCTAACATGTTCTTGCATGTCAACTCAATAACTTGTTTTACTTCCTCTGGCTGCTCATCTTCAGCTGCATATTTCATAAATCGTCACAGATCTATTACTTTTAAGTTTTCATTGGACATACCTTCCCTATGCGATTGAAACAACCCCTCAACATCTTCATCTTCCACTCCCTCCAATCCTGCATTGTGGGCAAGGTAGAACATTTCTTCACGGACTGGTGATATTACTTCTTCAAAACCCTCGAAATCATAAATGCATTCCGGCCATATCTTCCTCCAAATTTTATTCATACAACTAACAGTGATTTCTTTCCAAGCAGGGTCGATGTTGTCAGTTGCTTTCATGATATTATAGGGTGTTCATTAGTATATGTCTCATTTATATAGCTGAAGAAGGTACGACATACATAATACACCACGTCGCTATGACCCCCTGATCTATTGGCTGAATGAACAATGTTGTGTTTGGAGGCAAAAGCACAGTTTGGACCGGAATGCAATTCTCCAAGTTGTCCAAATGAGAAGTATGATCAGGAGTATAATCTAGGAGAAGTAAGGCCTATTTTCCAGTTTTTTCAATGAAATATTCTCCATTACTGGGCGAAAGTAGGAGACGGAACCAATCTTGAAAAACATCCTTTATGACCCAAGCTTTGCGAGTGGAACACCAAATAACCGGTAGGTGTGACTTCGAGAATCCTTTCATAGCCCGTGGCGATTCTGAATGATACACTAGCATTGGTTTCAATATAAAGACTCCTTTTCTATTACCACCAAATAACAGGATAAGCCGATCTTTTGAGGCTTTAATTCCTGGAGCAGTCTTTTCGTCACAAGAAATAAACGTTCGGAGCGGAATCAATTTCCAAAAAAAAAGCCCAGTTTCAACTGCGTTGAAAACCAATTCAGAGGGATATCCGCCATTTTCTGTAATCTCCTTTATCTTGTCTGGAAATTCTAAAGCAGCTTGATGATCAGCATTAGCGGCCTCACCTGTTATTTTGATGTAGATTATTTCTTCGCCTAAAACGGTCAAACCAACCTTTACTTGCAGCAAAGGTCTCTGTTGTTGAGCTTTCACCTTCCTCCTTTATCAGAGCCTGGCTTAGTGGCATACAATTCTGATTTTGGTCGATAACCCACATTGTTACTAATTTTTCCATTTTTTCTAAGACGCTATTATCGTATGGCTTAATTTACTTGAAGTTATTGGTGTATTGGCATGAGCTGACGCTTTCACACTCTCTGCATTCTTGAAAATTGTTCTTACTGTTGTTGCAGGAATCCCTAAGTCTCATCAATAGCACGTCGCCATTCCTCTAAGTGTTTCACAATTTTGAGTTTTTTACATGCTCTTATTACCTTCAGAACTATTTTCTGGTCGCTTCGCTGCCATAATTCCAGTAATATATGGTATT